GGAGAGAGAAATACCCTGAGCTAGCGGCTGGGTCAGTCAGAGTCTAAGGCGGGCTGACTGAAGGCAACCGTTGGCCTCGGACCCTACGGTCGGGAAGGCCTGCCAGCAAGAAGGTCTGCAGGTAATGGCAGACAACCATCTCATCAGCCAGTGACCGGTTGGCGAGTGGACGGGGTGTAGGGGTGGCGGAGCCCCGTGGAACACTGGAGGACCTCAACCGTGAGTACCCCACGTTGGGTAAGCCCCTCTAGTAGAAGATCTCCACTGACCCCCTCCTTTGAATCACCTATAACATCAAAGTCGTGGCAGGCGGGATGAGGGGGAGGGGCTACCGGACGAAGGGCGGTACCGGACGTGAGGCCCGCCAACGTCACACTCCCGCTTAATTGACAGCAATCAGTGAATCAATTAACACCAAGGCGTGGCAGACGAGAAGGCGGGCGGTTGCCCCAAGGACAGGTGGGCAGGCCACGGAGAGCAGCCCCGAGGCGGCCCCCTGTTACAATGCTATATCACAGTTGCACATTGCTACAGCAATGTAGCGGCACGTGTACAGGTTTCCCTCGCTTTATGCTGTACATGTGTTCCTGGAAAACAGCACAAAACTCAAATTTGCATAAAGGGAACCCACTTTACAATGTAACAAATACGAATACATTCCAAGACCTCATTGTACTGACCCCCAGACCTGTTTCTACCACTTTTACAAGACAATTTTGGTATTCACCAACAACAGACAGTACACACAAGCACAGGGCACTGTCATAATGGGGATGGCAACTATAGAAACGTGTGTCACAGACAACAAGCGAGGAGTGCACATCCACACAGGAGACTATATTTTTGGTGCGCATCACTCCCACAATGCACTGCACAAAGCAGCTGATTGTGGACTTCCATCACACTGATTGCATAAGAGTGAATTTATTTTGCATATAACACATTTTTGGTATAAAAAGGGTCATTGCATAGGAGTGAATTTTCACATAAAGAACCCACATAAAGCGAGGGAAACCTGTTTTTTGTGCCCACTGACAAAACTGATCCATTAACTTCAAAGAACATTGATTGGGTCTTTCCTGTGTGCAACATGAACATAAAATGATATGTCTAAGTAAGTGGAGGATTCTAACTGGTTATATATTTTGCTGCATTGTATACACAAGGTAGAAAGCAGTCTGCAAATAGTGTTCTCTTTCTGCTTCAGATTGCTATGAAAATAATCTGCCAGCAGAGGGCTCTTAACACCATACTTCTGACAAATACCTGCAAGAATAAAACAAGAGCAAACAAAACTCTGGTGTTAATTCAAACTTTTTTTCCTATATGTAGACCATCTAGAAGTAAGTATTAGCTATATATCTAAATGACAATATTCAATTTTTTAAATGAATTATTTAGAGGATTAAAACAAAACTCCTGGTTTGAAATTTCTAAGGAAATTTGAAACCATATCTGAATGTTCCGGTTTGGATCCATATCCTATGCTATCTAAAATATCCCAATAATAAACATTCAAGGGGTGCATCTACAAGTGCACTTTAATATGCATTAGCCTATTTTAATGTGCATTAAAGTGTCACAAAAACCCATGGTCTTTAGTTAATGCACATTAAAATAGGCTAATGCATCTGTTTATAGTTTCTCACAGTGGAGGTACTAAATATAATGTGCATTACCTAAAGCTCATTAATGAATGTGTAGATGTGCAAGGTGTATTTAAAGGAGATAAGAGAACAATTTAGTATCTCTATACAAAGCCCCGTTTACTTCTGAACATTGAATACAAAATTTTATTTATGTCTACTGCATACAGATTAGTTCACTTATTAGCTTTATGAGATTTTCATAAATCTCATTTATGAGATTTTCGATAGAGAAATATATGAGTAACTTTCCTGTAGGCAAAATTCTTCTCTCAGACTTGCTTACAGGACCGTAACTCTGATCGTTTGTAGTGTGTGTGTGTGTGTGTGTGTGTGTGTGGCGGGGGGGGGGGGAGGCATGCACATGAAATGTCCATTGACCGTCATGGGTATTCTACTTTAAAACATCGAGTAAAATATTCAAGGTGCCCTCCATTAGTAAGATCTCAGATCAGAATTTTTTTCCTGTGAGATTCGATATTCAGTAACCACTCTGAGTACTCTGGGGAAATTTGTATTTTAACTGGACTAGATTACTGGTTCTTGCATCAGTGTTCAGACTTGTATATGACAGTATGTCTGACAAATAATGGCAGTAAACAGTGTTTCTTCCCTCTAATAAAACTAACATGCAAGACATTTCATTTGTTGTGTGTTTAGTGTCAGTTTTAGGTGGTTTCCTCATATAGCGACAGGTACAAGTCTTTTTAGAACTTGCTCATTTTAATCACTGATGAGAATATTTGCTTGTCATGAATGGGAGGTTTATAGTCACTATCATAGTGATTTTACATAGTAAATGGAATTCACAGGCTTTCATTTAAACAATTTATCAAATTAATATAGAATGCAAAAAGAATTACAATTCTGTATTTTCTCCCCTCTCAGATCTAGTGATTATACTATAAGACTTAGTCTTATAAGGAAGGGGGCACCTGGGCCATCAAGTATGGTGTAAAGATTTGTATAAACATTGCATATGATTTATGTTGCAGGTGTCTCCTAGAGCCATCAGCTCCACTGTGCAAGACACGGTATGAACAGAAGAGATTTTGTTACTCACTGTGCAACCTTGGGCAATACATTTAGCATGCTGTGCTTCAGTTTTCTCATCTGTTAAATGAGAATATTTAGGCCTGCCTCACAGATGGATTGTTGAACTGCTTTAATAATACATGGAAAATTTTATAGAAGGGCAGATGTATTCTTATTGCTAAACCAGGCATGTGATGTAATTACCAGTGTCCTGTTGTCCATTACTTTTCCTGTTAGATGATCTGATCACAATTGTAACAAAAATATACATAGAAAGATAGCTTTATATGCCAAATTAAATTTTATAACCTTTAAAGACTATGTAATTGTTCACCTATATTGATTTTTTTTTTCTTTTCTTTTTCCGAGTTGGTCAAGTAGGTCAACATTTCCTTACCAGCAGTAACAGTGGGCTGCAAATTATTTATGCGCGTCCAGAGATTTAGAGTAGCAAAAATACAAAATGTTTCTGTATAAAAAGAGTGTGAATTAAGGTGGAGCTTGGGGGGGCTGGCTGAGCCAGGTCCTCACCCCCCCCGCAGGTACAGGGGGCAGAGGCAGTAGCCGGCCCTGGGGCCTGGCCCATGCTGACAGGAGGTGGCACGGCATGCGGTTCCCACATGCTATGCTAGATCCTGCTGCGGCTGGGCTCTTCCTATAGCTGCAGGACCTGGCCTGGTGAGTGGCAACTGCGCAGAGCCAAGCCGGGTCCTGCTGGCTCTGGGGCTGCTAACGCCGCCTGGCAACCGGGCAGCATGAGCAGCCCCAAGGCTGGCGGACCTGGCTCGGCTCCGTGCGGTCTCTGCGCGCTGGGCTGGGCTGGGGAACGTGAGCTGCCTGGGGCCGGCAGGACGCAGCTTGGCTGTGCACGGTCCCTGTGCACCGGGCCAGGTCCTGCAGCTATAGGAAGGGCCTGGCTGCGGCAGGACCCGGTGCGTCACGTGGGAACCACATGCTGTGCCAGCTCCTGTCAGCCTGGGCCAGACCCCAGGGCCGGCTCCCGCCCCCCTCC